TTTTGGGGTAAGGGATTTTCAGAGGCAAAGCTCCTTCTGGACTTCAACCCCTTGGTTCAACGTTGAATACTTACTGAGTCAGGTGAAGTATAGAGGTAAGTTTAAAGTCCAATTCTGCTCTGAATAGTGAGGACGTAGACACTGGCTCCTTCTAAATCAACCAATCTGCTCCCTCTGTGTATTCAGAGCATTATCTGCTGACTTTAGTGATAGAAATATGCTTTTACACTTCTTAGGCCTGTGGGCCCAGCACACCAAGAGGGAGTGAACTGTGGGTTTGGTTCCTTTTGGTGCATCATCAACAGAATGACTTATTGAGTTCCAGTCAATTCCACCTCTGCAAACCTAATGCAGGCGACAGAGCTGCATAGATTAATTGGCTGGGAGAACTTTTTTTTTTTACCAATGATGATGTGCAAGAAGGAAAGAACCACGCATGACTCTCAGATACCAGGTTGAGTTTGCAGGAGAACTCCCACCCCCATATGTCTTTACTTGCAAACAGAGCACGTTTGATCTGGAGTAATTAAATCTGAACACAGAACACCCTCTCTCCACCACACAATGCCATTTGTATAAAGACAGTTGTCAGGATACAATCACATTTTAGGGGATGCACTGATGACCAGATTTTCAAAAGTTTTCAGCACCTGAGTCAAGGACAGATTTTCAAAAGAGTTTACCCAACATGATGATCTAGCATCAAATTTTATCTATAACTTTGGCTCTTATCATTCATGACCTTGGCACAAAAAGTGGAAATATGCTAATAAAATTTGCAGATGACACAAAGTTGGAAGGTATTGCCAATATGGAGGAGGACCGGACTATCATACAAGAAGATCTAGAGGATCTTGAAAACTGGAGTAATAGAAATGGGATGAAATTTAATAGTGCAAAGTGCAAGGCCATGCAGTTTGGGACTAACAACAAGAATTTTTGCTATAAGCCGGGGACATATCAGTTGGAAACAACAGAGCAGAAGAAAGACCTGGGTGTATCGGTGGATCACAGGCTGACTATAAGCGGCCAATGTGATGCAGCGGTGAAAAAAGCTAATGAAATCCGAAGATGCATTAGGCAAGTTATTTCCAGTAGAGATAGGGAAGCCATTATACAAGGCACTGGTGAGACCTCATCTGGAATATTGTATTGCAGTTCTGGTCTCCTGTGTTGAAGAAAGATGAATTCAAACTGGAACAGGTGCAAGGAAGGGCTACTAGGATGATCAGAGGAATAGAGAACCTACCTTATGAGAGGAAACTTAAGGAGCTTGGCTGTTTAGCCTAACGAAATGAAGACTGATGGAAGATATGATTGATCTCTATAAATACGTCAGAGGGATAAATAGCAGGGAGGGAGAGGAGTTAAGAGCCCATGTTGACATAAGAACAAATGGATATAAACTGGCCATCCACAAGTTTAGGCTTGAAATGAAATTACACATGATGCCATCTGCATCCCCTTTCCAAAACAAACAGTAGCCAAATAAACCAACCTACCAGGAATAAAGGCTGGCTTAGGAAAAATAAACCAATTAAGAGCCATTATAAGGCAACAAGATAACATGGTTGCACTATGGCTTATGCTGTTGACAGTAGTTCACAGAAAGACATTTTTCAGTGAAATGACATTGGGTGCATAAGCCATGATACGATTTCAGTTGAATGATGACCCTATTGTAAAGCTTCACTTTCACTCACAGTAAAACAGGATCAAGCGATCCAACGTGCTGTGCAAGGTATTGCTGAGCACAAAATGCCTGCTGGGTTTTCTTGCATAGCGACTGCACTACCAAGAACTGGCTTATTGCTCATAAAACCCTTGGAGCTTCCTTAAGGTGCCAAATAAATCTTAACAACCCCTTTTTCTTTTCAGATGATCAGTTAACAAGCAGGGTGGAGACCTCTGCTCAGAGACTGGGGATCTTGGGGTCTTTCGCTTCCCTGAAAAGGAGAGATCTTATATTGAAAGGTCTATTTTAATAACACTGTTACACCATTACAGTCCCAAATTCAGTCTGTGTTGGGACAATCTTGGGGTAAGGTTTGGAAGGAGGCAAGGACTCCTAGGCTGCCATGAGAATTTATTGCAATTCCTCTTTTGGACTTAAAGGGATGCAGGCAGCAGAGTGACGTAGTGGAAGGACGAAGACCAGGACTCCTTTCCAAAGGAAAAAGGGTTCTGATCTGGATGATTGGATTTCTTTGCTAGCTGGCTTCATAACAGTCATGGAATGGAGGAGAGTGAGTTACATGTGTGTGAGGCAGAAAGCAGGTGGCACCATGTGTAACCAAGAGACAAGACAAGCCTCACTAAGTTGTATTTAGGTTGATAGGCTAAGATCATCTTTCAGAGGGCATCACGTTTATTGCTAGCAAAGTCTGCGTTCATTACTCTAGTATCACCTCTCTTAACTGTCTAGAAGATGCTTTTTACTGTATCATTAGAGCAGAGCTCATCTGTGGCCTGATCCCTGCCTACTGAAGTCAGTGTCAAAACTCCCTTTTAATTCACTGTTGCAGTATTTGGCCCTCGACAATGACAGGTTTCCATTAACACTATGTTGGCTTTCAAGTAATAGTTTCCACTCTTTTTAGCTGGTAAGTTACAGGATTTCTTGCTTTCTCCAGCTTATGTACTGAAACAGGGTATCTTAGGGCTTGTCTACGCAGCAAGTCAGTGTGTGGCAAACCAGGGTGTGAATCTACAATGCACACTAGCCTGTGGTGCACTAACTGGCTATCTAGACACTGCTATTACACATAAAAGTTCCATTGTGCGTTCTCATGTAACCTGTTTCAAACTCGTGATTCAAAGAGGAATCTATCAAAGGGGAATTTGTCAAAGCACACTACAGAACCTTTAATGGATTTTTATGGCTGAAAATTGCTGCACGAGGTCAGTCTCACAGTCTATGACTTCCGTAGTGGAAGTAGTCAGTACAGCTTCTGCAATATACCAGATAAAATTGATTTGGTAACTTTTCAAGGCAGGCAGGCATGCTGTAACACCCATCTTTCCTTGCTAGCATTTTGGGGTTGAGTCCGTAGGGGGAGGGCAGGGTGTTGCAACATGACCAAGTAGCATGTCTTTTAGTTTTTGTGGACAAGCTTCGTAAGTGGAAAATTTGCCTTCAGGAGAAACTATTGCATTAAAATATTGTATTGCACATTTTGGATTTTTAATGGAGTGCTTTAGAATATGTGTACATGGCCACGGCTGGCCTGGGTCAGCTCACTTGGGCTTGTGGGGCTTGGGCTGCAGGGCTAAAAATCGTTGTGTAGGTGTTCTCCGGCTTGGACTGGAATCTGAGCTCTGGGACCCTCCCCCCTCACAAGGTCTCAAAGCTTGGGCTGCTGCCTGAGTGTCTACATAGCGCTTTTTCAGCCCTGGAGCCTGAGCCTTATGACCCCAAGTCAGCTAACTGAGGCCAGCCATGGGTTTTTTACTCCTGTGTAGAAATAGCCCTAGATGCCAGGAGGTTCCTAGAACTCTGGAAAGGTGACAGAGATATTTAAATAAATAAATACATCCCCACAGGTTTACATACATTTGACATTCAAGCAAAGAGACAGGAGAGAAGCCCATTAAAACAACTGCCATCAAAAAGATCCCTAAGGAATTGCTGCTTTTTCATTAACCTAACTGGACTTCATTGAATCATAGACTATCAGGGTTGGAAGGGATCTCAGGAGGTCATCTAGTCCAACCCCCTGCTCAAAGCAGGACCGATCCCCAATTAAATCATCCCAGCCAGGGCTTTGTCAAGCCTGACCTTAAAAACTTCTAAGGAAGGAGATTCCACCACCTCCCTAGGTAATGCATTCCAGTGTTTCACCACCCTCCTAGTGAAAAAGTTTTTCCTAATATCCAACCTAAATCTCCCCCACTGCAACTTGAGACCATTACTCCTTGTCCTGTCATCCGCTGCCACTGAGAATAGTCTAGATCCATCCATCAACTCCTCGTTAAACATGATAACTTGCGATCTGACTTTGCAGGTCCTTCCTCACAGGGGCTAACCTCACACTGAAGTCATTAGGGGAAAAATCCTGGCCCCATTGAAGTCAATGGCAAAACTTCCAGTGACGTCAATGGAGCCAGAATATCACCCTAGGAGTCCAGGCAGCACAGTGAGTGCAGGAAACAGGGTCTTAAATGGGGCATCAGCAACACTTAGGCAAACATGTACCAGTATTTACAACCTGAGGCTGTGTGGGGGACTAGAAGCATCAGTGAGGTGGCACCTTTGAACTTGGCCCATCCGTGTTTTTAATTTTACCTTCTATTTTGTTGATATTGTTCGTTTCTGTCTGTTTGGACTATTCCTTCACATAAAGGAAACCCATAATTGTGTGTGTGTGTGCATGCCCACACATGCATAGTTTATGTGGTGCACATTTCTCTGCAAATAAACTGAGGCTCAGTTAATTGGCCAAGGAATGCACATCCCATGCCAGACTTTCCAAACTGGAAAGTCTTTTATTTTTTAAGAAAACCCTCTTTCTTTTCAGTCTCCAACCCCCGCAGCTCACCAAAACAATGTCATCATTCTGATAATTTAATCTCCCCTTTTATGAGTCACATTGGCACCTGTGACTCAAGAGGCAGAGCTTTCCATTTCCAAAGGGGGGAAGAAGTCCCTGACTTCATGGATGACACAATAGCTTGTAGGCGTCTCTAGCACTGGCATTCCATCTCCCTTCTCTCCCGTTTTTTTAACATGCAATCCTTAAAAGGAGTCTTTTACCTTTATCATCTTCCTGTCGTATTTACAGAAAGCTGCACTAAGCCGTGGAAAAGAGTTTAAACCATTGTAGATATAAATGTTTAAAAACCTAAAAGAGCTGTTTAATACTAATTTGAGCTTTGGCCTTTCAGGTTGCTATCTGCATAGTGAAAAATGTTTCCACCTAGAAGTTACTTTTCAGCCTATTGTTTGCAGAGCCAACAATGTGTGTGCTCAACAATCAGCAACATGAATGGTTTTCATTTACCTGGACGGGGGGGCCATATGGGAATTCCACTTTCTCGCTGCTCTGGGTTGCCACAGTAGGATTACTGGAGCTGATGAGTACTGGTGAGCTGATTTCCAGTGTTTGCCGCTCTGTGGGTGAGTGGACCATCCTGTTGAGTGAATTCAAGGCACTCGTGATAGAGAATGGTCTCAGGCTCTTCCTTCTAGATTCTGACACCTTGCGGAAGGTTGGTGACTCTGTGCCTTTCGCTCTGGGAGAGGCTGTCCTTAAAGGTGATGAATATTTAAATGAGGGGGATCGGTGGCTTTTCTTTGTCTGTAGGAGTTGTCTTGCAGTCATGTTTGGCTGGGACAGAAAGAAGAGAAGTTTTATGGCACCATCTCAGAAGTTAAGCTTTGCATAGACCCCAAACCCAGTGAGCATAGACCCACATTTTATACCTCATCCTATCAAGGAGCCTAGCTGAGTTTGGGCTTCAGATGGCATTATGGTTAATCTTTGCAATTGAGTGGCTCAGCTTTGTTATATTTTCAGTGACAAATCCCAGAGGCATAATTACTAACACAAAGCTGACCACCAAATTAAAATGGATTGGAAGAAGTCTGTCACTGAGACACCATCTGATTAAGCTTGTATGTCTGGTTCTCTCTCCAGTTGAAGTCTCACAGAAAGGTTTGGCTTCCTTTCCTGTCAAAACTGGAGACTCACAGAGATGAAGAAGCATGCATCTCAGCTAGTTTCTTCCACTCAGCTCCAGTACACAGTATGATAAATGGAACGCCAAATTACAATGGACAAATGGGCACATCTTTCTTAATTGCTTTGTGTTGGCAAGATTGGGTGCATTTCACAGCAGGGGGTCAAGTCTCTCCAACTGACATGAAGGCGTTCATATGGAGAAGTCCATACTGATGTTAGCTTTATAAGCTGTGTTGCCTCCATTCAGTTAGATCAATTTAGAGTAGGGGTGGGCAAACTATGGCCCGTGGGCTGGATCCGGCCCCTCAGGGCTTTGGCAGGGAGCTTGCCCTGGTCCTGGTGCGCGCTGTTGCCACCCTGGAGCCACTCCAGGTAAGTGGTGCTGGGTCAGAGCCTGCACCCCGAACCCCTCCTGTCCCGTGTCCCCCAACTCCCTGCCCTGAGCACCCTGCCTGCACCCCAACCCCCTGCCACACCCCTCCTGCAACCCAACCCCCTGTCCTGAGCCCCCTGCTGCACCCAGAACCCCTCCTGCACCCCAACTCCCTGCCCCGAGCCCCCTCCCGCACTCCTCCCTGCACCCCTGCCCTGAGCCTCCTCCCGCATTCTGCACCCCCTCCTGCACCCTAATCCCCTTCCCTGAGCCCCCTCGTACACCCTGCACCCCTCCTCTGCCCCGACTCCTTGCCCTGAGCCCCTTCCTGCACACTGCACCCACTCTCACACCTCAACTCCTTGCCCCAGCCCTGCATGCAATTTCTCCACCCAGATGTGGCTCTCGGGCCAAAAAGTTTGCCCACCCCTGGTTTAGACCAAAACATTCACAGCTTGATCCTGCTCCCACTGAAAGATGTGGGATTTTTACCATTGATTTTAAGGGGAGCAGAGTCAGACCCTCAGTTTGCATAGAGACTAAGGGCATGTCCACACGTACGGTGCTGCAGCGGGGCCGTTGCCCCAGCGAAGACGCTGTGTGCCGACGGGAAAGAGCCCTCTCACTGGCCTAATAAAACCACCTCAAGGAGCAGCAGAAGCGATGTTGGTGGGAAAAGCTCTCCCACCAGCATCGCCCTGTCCACACCGGCACTTATGTCGGTGTGATTTATGTCACTCAGGGGGTGGTTCATTCACACCCCTGAGCAACGTAAGTTCTGCCACCATAAACTGTAGTAAGAGCCTGAATTTCAACAGGATGTCTTTGAACCTGCTGAGTAACTCAATATGAATAGCAAAGGGCATTTGGTGGCAATGTTTCTTCCCACAATGGCTCCCAAAGAAATTAACCCTGATTTACGGCTGACATTAAAGACTTGCAAATCTTTGAGATTCTCTCCCACTCACTCGAAACATTATGCCTAATGCCTAGGATGAAAAATAATCCACCTAGCGTGGAACAGGTCATTGCCCTTACCAGTATCATCATGTAAAAGCAAAGGTTGTTTTTGTATTGTCTCCTCCTCAATCCCAGGTTTAAAAACAGGTAGTGTGTGTGTGTGATATATTAGACTCCTCTCCAAGTACTTACAGAAATAAGTGTTATATATAATATTGTAATTTCTGTAAGTGATTAGAGATGAGTCTAAAACCAAAACCATTTATCTGAATTCCCCTAACACTAGGTATTTGGTTAAAGTGGAACATGGATCTGATCATTGTCTGTAAAGCCAAAGCCAAAAGAAGTCCTGTATCTCTCAAACTAGCCCCAGGTTTTCCCTTCCCATAATTAATTTCTAATTCCCCAGTGGCCATAATTAATTTATTCCAGCTAATGCCAGATTAAGTAAAAAATTACTTGAGTCAAAATTATTTCATGAAAAGAAGAGACATTTTACAAGATCTGTTCGAACTTCAAGTAATATTTTTACTAGTGTCTGTCTATAAAGTAATTGTGGAATAAGTAACAAATGTTTTCTGTACTTAATTTAATAATATCTCCATTTGTGTCTAGGTATTTGGTGTGCCATTTACAGTTTATAGCCCAAGCTAAACTTTAGGGAGATCATTAATGACCAATTCAGTATTAAACAAGAAATGTTGCGGCTGGGGAAGGACTAGATGGCCAAGGAGATTGATAATGCAATAAATCTCTCTCTCTAAATCTCTGCTTTGAATTTGGGGCAGGCTGGTAGTGACTTAAGGCTGTTACTATCTGATAGATGTTTTGTGCTTTATGGAAAATCAGTTGGTTGATCTCATTACAGTTCCTAGTGGAAATGTATTAATAGAGCTGATCAAAAAAGACAAGTCTAGTCTGTCAAAAAATTAGCAAGGAATGAACATTTTCCATGACATTTTTTGGATTTTTTTTTTTTTTGCCAAAAATATGTTTGAAATAAAATTTTGAAAAGCATTTGAAAAATATCATTTTGATGGGGAAAAACAACCCTCTTTCATTTTTCCACACTGGAAATGATGACGAGAGGGGCAGTGAATGTGAAAGAAAATGCCCCTCCCCCCAATAAACAACACAAAACAAAATGGAACTTGGATGAATAATTTTGAGAATTTTCACTTTTAAAATTTTTTGATCAAAAAATGAATTTTTTTTCCCATGAAAGTGTTCAGTTTGGTTGAAAGAGTTCTCCCTCCCCCCACTAAAACAGAATTTCAATGTACATTTTGCACTATTTCTAATTATTAACATCACAAAACCCATCTTGTGACCCTCACCCTTATTCATAGTGTCAGCAAAATGCCAAGGACTGAATAGGCCATGAAGACTGAATTACCCCTTCACTGGTAATTGCGGTCCCCCCAGTTAGGACGTGAGATACGTTGACAGGGCAGTGTTTGAGAGTATCTCCTTAGCTTCCAACCACCATTCTTCACTTAAAGGAGATGTAACAGAAACCAGAGAATACCCTCCAGGATCATGGATCACATGAGGAGCATCATTCAGTATGGTGGGAGTGAATACAGATGTTGACTGCTTCCCTGTGGTAATGGATTGAATAAGTGTTTTTGAATGTGCTGCACTTACCTCCACAAACAAGATGGGGAAGATCCCTATTTTATCACCTAACTTTCCCTCTGCCCAGTTCTCATCAACTCTGCTAATCACTGTGATGATATCGCCCTGAAATGCAGAAGTATATTGTTACCAACCTTCCCGTCTGGGATAGACAGATAGTACATGTAAAGATGGGTTTGACCCGTAATTGCTGCAAAACAAAATCATTAAGCAGCCTCTGAGGTATGTCCATTGTAGAGAACACATGTCTTCAGCAAAGCTCTTTGGCACGTGCTTAGTCTTAAGTACATGTTTAAGTCCATCTGTATTCAGCTCTATGCTCAGCGTGCGTTTAACTTAAAACAACAGCATTTAACAAAAAATAATGGAAAATGTGTGAAAAGCAAGTGAGTTTATGACTTTTTAAAATACTTCCTTCATGTGGAAATTCTTCTTTAATTATCATGCACGAATAAAATAATGAAAATGGCATTTCAGATATGTACCAAATATAAACCATTATAAGTTTCCAGGCAATTGGAACTGTACTGCCAAGAAACTCCTATATAAACGAATATTTCAAGAGTTGAAATACCCTAATATTATTGGACCTGCAGTACTTCAAATACTCTGCAGCAAAACTAGTTTTCTATCGACTTGTGGCTAAAAATCCTTTGGAAAGATCCATTTTCTGTGCAACCCAGCAGAAATGAAATGTTACTCATTTTTAATATATTTGTATTTGATCAACTGAAAATACCTGCAGGGAGAAAAGGTCCAAAAATGCAGGGTTTTTTTCCCTTTGAATTAATTTGAAGTTTTTGAGAATCAATCACATTTTACTCTAATTCCAATTGAGAGCAGAATGGTCTTGGCCTAATTCCCCTCTGGCTTGCATCACTTGCATCTATGCAAAGTGGGTAGATGAGGATTCCATTACAGTTTGGTAGAACTTTGCTTTCCTTTTGCACAGGTGTAAATGACTCCACAAGACGAAGGAGAGGGGAGAATCAGGCTCCCTTTCCAGATTTTTTTTTAATAATAATACATTGCACTTTCATAGCACTTGTCATCTGGACTGTGACTCTCAGATCACTGCATAAACATCCAGGGCCAGATTGTGGTTCACTCTGCATGGGTACACAGAACCTCTCCTTTCTTGCATCACCCATATGAGTCTTGTCACAATGGTAGTGCCTGGGTTCTGCTGACTACTAGCACCCACTGGGGTGCAAATAACCTCAAGAGGGGAAAAGAGCAGCAGAGAGGAGGTTATGTGGGGTATGCTGAGCTTTGAATCCTCCTGCTGTGGTTGGGTGCACAGAGGGAGCTTCAGCAACCTCGTGCAGCCTGATGGGTGATATTAAAGGAAATCACTGCAGCAGCTGGGGTCCTTAAGTGAGAACATACAATGAGAACTGTCTGACTAACATTGCAAGACACGGGGATGTGAGTGAGTGAGTGTGTTGTCCCCTCCTCGAAGAAGCATCTGCCTGTTTTATATGTACGATAACGCTCTGTGTGCTAACTGAACTGTAGGCGTGGAAATGAGGGCTGTCTTCAAAAGCAAATAAATAGAATGAGTAAGCAGTGAAACAAAGACAAATAAAGCAAAAAAGAAAACAAAACCAGACGGCATGAAAGAGAGGAAAGCATCTGCAGTTAAAAAATATTGTTGGCTCCCCGTGTCCCTTGTGTTATTGTTAGCAATATTAGAAACCACACTTTAAAGTGACAATGCAAAGTGAGCAGCAGCAGATGCTTCAGTGAAACTTACTTTCTCCTCTGGTTCCGCCCCATCCCAGTTTGAGATAACAGCTGGTTTTGGATATTTGAACTTTCTTTCCCCCAGCCTTCCCCTCACCCAGCCCTATCTATCAAGCCTCTTAACTTTCTCCTTAATCCCCTCTAGAGAACTGCTTGTTTTTGCTGATTAGCAACAGCACTAGGGGCTGAGTTGCCGAATGAAAAGAAAAACAGGTGACTTTTCTGTTAGGACATCAGAGCCCCTAGGTGTTGGTTTCTCAGCTAGATTCAATATGCTTCACTTAATTTTGAAATACTAGGAAGTGTTGACATTGCTGTGAAGCACACTTACCTTGAAAAGTATCTACTGTAAAAAGAATAAATGCAAGTCCTATAATTTCAGTAGAATACCAGGACAGATGGCAAATGTCTGTAGAAGCATGCAGGTGTTGCTTCACTAATGTATATTCCTAAAGGAATGGCTGAATATGTTGAAGGTGCATAGATGATCTCTGTCCCCTGACTATTAAGCCATTTTTATTATATAACTAAGCATCTTTCAAGGCAAACCCTCCCATAGTTTAGGGAATAATGCAGCTAATCAGTTATTAGCTAATTGACTAAAGGAGCATTGTGGAGAAGTTAAAGCAAGGGACTGAACATCAGGCTTCCAGGTTCTGTTTTCACCTCTGTCAAATTTCCACTCATTTTCTAAATATCAGTGTGTGTCCTTGGCGACGTCACTTAGGTGGGACTTTCAACCATTGACTTCAATGCTAGGTTAGAGTTGGGTTAACACTGAGGACTTCTGAAAACCCCACCCTCAACCTCTCCATCTTGGTTTATCTATGTGCAAAATGGGGATGATATTTATCCCACTGAGATTTTGGGAAGTTTAATTCTTGTTTGTATAGTGCTTTGAGATCTTTAGATGAAAGGTGCTGTAGACCTGCAAGGTTCTATGGTGCTGACAACAGGACCTAGGGTTGAGAAACTACCCAGCTGTTCAAATACCGGCCCCTGACTGGCAGACAGGCAACCTTACCTTATGAAATGTCAGGCAGTCCTTATTTTCTTTTTTATCTCTCTCTCTCAGATCAAAGTTGTAAAGTGCTTTGCACAGGGGTGGTGGTAGTGGAAGTTGTTTGATAACCTGCACTGTGCTGCTTGGGAAAACCCCACTGACCCCATTGATCTCTCCCAAGTACCATTTTTCATCCAGCTGTCGGTGCAATATGATGATGTCCCCTTTATTGAACCTCAGTTCACCAGGGTTTTGTCCTCTGTAGCTGTACAGGGCTCTGGCCCGGGGAACCTGCAGGATAAGAAACAAACATTAGCTTTTACTCATGACCTACTGACACAAAGTTCTGGTCATCATTGTTTAAGCTAACATGACTCCTCGCATTTGCATCCTAAATTGATGTCTAGTGAGGACAAGCCCAAAAGGAGAACTCCTGACACCAGTGCAGCTAACACATCAAGTTCAATATTTAGGAATTTGATGAAATGAGCAATTGCTTTCTCTGTCCTTGTGGGGCTTAACTGTCTCCTGAGAGTTTGTGATCCTCTCATAATGTTTTCATATTAATAAACCCACATCATTTAGCTTTTTATTAGTTAGTTTTTTATTCAGTATCCTATGCACTATGATGTAACTGCTGGCTTTAGATTATATTTTGTCTTCTCAGCATTTTAGGAGGGGGCACTTTATTAATAATAATAATAATAATTATTGCTTCTTAACTGTTCAATCTGGGTTGGAGAGAGAAATTTACTGAAATCAGAGGAGATGAGGGAACCTTCCCACATTGTCCCCTGCAACAGTCTCCTAAGTAAAACTAGAGTTCACTTAAAGTATCCACTTTACTGGCCTGAATCATATTTTATCCACTCAAAAAATTCAATTTAATACACAGTGCAATGGATTGTTTGGATGGTTGAATTAAATTCAGAGCCATCACTGGCCTCACTGCCCTGAGCCTGAGAGCTACAGTTTGAAAGCAACCTTGCAGATTTTTTCCTGGAAGAAGACGAGTACAGATAAGCCAAAGGCTGCTTCTTGCTGTGTAGCAGTTCCAGGCGTGCAGCTCTTGGTGCAAGTAGCTTCTGCATCAGCTCAGAAAATGAGGTGGGGGGCTTGTGTTCCAGGCTGGTGGAAATACCTTGGGTGAGCAGCTTTATTAGATAGCGTACTGTCCTACTACACTCCACATAACACTGGTGGAATTTGGGTTTCACTTATATTTGCTGTAGTTTGTACCATATGCTTCTAGTTGAAGTGCAAAACGAACTAAAAAGTTGGAAGTGCAGTAAGGGTTAAGGCTTGTATTCTACCCACAAATAACCCCGTGTGAGGGCCAGTTGACTTAAGTAGTGTGTAGGCTCTCTGAATAGGGGTGAATTTCATTCCAGGTGCCTGAGTGTTGTAAAAAGTTGTATAAAATAAAGAGCACTGCCAAAAGACCTCTACAATCTCTAAGCACAGAGGGAAGAGTGACATTAGAAGCAGCAGCCTTATTGAATGTCCTTGTTTTGGCTTGCTAAACATTATTTATTTAACAGTGCTATTGTAATACAGCATCTTGCTGCTATTGAATACAGCAATTGCCATGCTATATCAGACTAGTAGTCCGTCCAGTCTTGTATCCAATTCGCAATGGTGGCCGAAACCAAATGCTTTAGAGGTACAGGATTTAGTTGGTGTTGGTCCTGATTTAATTGCTGTTGCTCCTGCTTTGAGGAGGGGATTGGACTAGGTGACCTCCTGAGGTCTCTTCCAACTGTAATATTCTATGAAAACCCTAATGCTACACAATTTCGCAATAGCATGCCTATGGGAGAAGTTTCTTTCTAACCTGAGCCAGTTAGTTGTTGGTATTATGCTGTGAAGAAGGAGGGTGGATATAGCCGATAAAGTTTACCCCAGCTAGTGTAACTGCAGATGTTGTTCTTCTTACTCTTATAAAGTATTAATCCTTTTGTGAATCCTACAGTATTGTTTGCCTCAATAATATCTTGCAGCAGTGGGTTCCACAGGTTATGCATCTTATAAAATATGTTTCCTTTAATACATTTTTATTTGCAATTATGCAATTCCTAGTGGAATATGCTCAGGTACCTTCACTGCAATTGTTATATCTCTTGAAATAATGGCAGCTCCATTCTCTGTGGAAGTATATAGATAATTCACTGAGAACTCTGAACTTGAGAGAGGGTTCCAGGGGTATCCTGTTTCCCCCAGGGCAAAGATTGAAAAAGTATAAGTCATAAATATCCCAAAGATCCATTGCGGATTATAGATACAACATACCATGGTGGCCCAGAGCGCTGCAGCCAAGGTCTAAAGACCAGAAAAAAAAATTGGAGTTGGGTGGGAAACAATTCTCTCTTCAATGCAAAAATTTTGGAGATTTTGAAAGTTGTTCCCACTCTGCATCAGGGTCTCACCCTGAGATCTTTTGAAGTTTCTCATGGGAGCTGTGGAGAGGAACTCTCAGAATAGCCAATAGCCCAATACTTATAGCTTTCACCAGGGATAGGTGAGAGCCTGGTTCAAGTCCCTTCTCTGCCTGGTTCAGCGGAGGGACTGGAACTTCAGTTTCCCATATTTCAGAAGAGTGCCCTGGCTGTTGGCTATTCTGAAGTGGGTCTCTCTCCTGATAGAGCTCTTCCACTTTGTATAAATAGTTAAACAGTCACTGGGCCAGAGAGAGAAAGAGACTATATAGCCTAGTGTTTAGGGCACTCACTTGGCATGCGGGAGATGCAGGGACTTGAAAAAAGATTCCCCCCTCCACTTGCAAAAGACCCCATTCTATCATCCTTTCCACAGTCATTCGTGCTGAAAGAAATCTGAACTGCTTAGTGTCTGATCAGTTAGGAATGTTGGAATTGACACATTGGATAAGACTAGTCATCCATTGAGTTTGGTGTCCTGTCTCCATTAGCGGTCAGTACCAAGGTGCTTCAGAAGAAGGTGCAAAGAACACCATCAGCTCCCAGGGGAAGTTCCACCCTGGGATACATATTACAAAGGCTGGGTTGTTTCCAGACATGCAGATGCGCCAGTATTGGGAAGATCTGTGCAAGAAGGTGTGGCATTACGCCCCATATTCTTCATGGAGATATGGTTATGATATGATTATGGCATAACTAAGATATATTTTATGCAAGATGGGTGATGTGAGATATCATTGGAAAGGTTATGATTTACTGAATATGGTTATCCTATTTGTATGCATGTATCATTTTTGTTCCTGAAAAATTAGGAATATTGCCTATGCATCTATTACAAATGTGTTTTACACCTAGGGAATGCTCACCAAACAGAATGCAATCAGTCTGGATGGCCAATTGGGAAGTGCCATTAGGGAAAACAACAGGTCTTTGAAGATACTAATCTCCCATCGGGAAGTCTTCCTGGGGACCATGCAAACAGCCTCTGAGTTATGGCAGCAGGGTCATGTGACAAAGTCACCTGGTACTGGACTTCATGAAAATACTAGTATTTTTCCACTAACTAGGGGTGGGAACCACCCTGGGAGACAAAGGATTCCCGCCATATGCAAAAACTATTTAAGGCAGGGGAGTGACATTATCGTGATTTGTTCTTCACTAACTCCCTGCCCAAGAAAGAAGGCTGCTGGAAACACCTGAGAAACAAAGAGACTGAGCTGGGGGTGGGTGGGGAGGACTGAGCCCCCAGGCTAGAAGGTGTCTGGCTTGTGAAAGGAATATCTGGAGTTTTAAGCTGCAAGCAAGTCTCTGGAATCTGCCTAAAACATCATTTAGGATGAGAATTTGCTACTTGTAACCAATTTCTTTAGTATATTAATCTTAGATTGTGTTTTGTTTTATTTGCTGGGTAATCTGCTTTGATATGTTTGCTATCCCTTGTAATCACTTAAAATCTATCTTTTGTAGTTAATAAACTTGTTTTGTTTTGTCTAAAACCCAGTGTGTGGAATTCATAACTGGGGGGCAAAAAGCTGTTGCATACCTCTCTCCACATTGAGAGAGGGGCCGAGTTTCATGAGTTTACACTGTACAATTCTCTGTGCAGCGCAAGATGGTGCAAATTTGGGTCTACTCTCTAGAGCGGGGGCATGCACTTGAGTACTGGGAAATTCCTTAGCTGAGCCTTCCCATGCAGAGCTGATCTCAGCATCTGTGTGTAAAGCTGCAGCCGGGATGTGTCCCTACCTGTATGTGTGCTGGTAAAGTGCAGTCTGAAGCTTGAGGGGGAGGGCTTGGCTGGCTTGCATCAGCAATACAGTGTAAAGAGAGCCCAGGCTGGTGGGTCAGGCAGTTCCAAGTGGCACTCCGAAGAAGTGGGGGGGAACCCGTCTCAGAAGGCTCCACCACTTGGTCTCTTCTGCCCCTCCCCTCACAGTGGCTGGGAACAGCTGCCATCCTTACACTCCCCAGACACAGGAAATGTCATCTTCTAGGGCTTGCCTGGGGAACCTCGAAGTGGGCATGGAAGAGGCATGGATAAGGTCCATTCCTCCTCCTTTGTGTTGATAGCAGAATTAAGAGCAAAAGAAAGGTGCATTGCTGTTCCCTCCCCTTAAGGGAGGTTGTCACAAGCACCTCCCTTGGTACATGGTCTGGGGTTCCCCTGTTCTATTGCGGCTCCACAACCTCTAGTCCCCACAATTACACAGCGCCTGCCGCAATAAAGCCCCAGATGTTTAGGATCCCTTTAAAACCAGCTGAGTTCTGTAGTCACCTCCCATGTGCTGTAGAACAAATATTCTGAGGACCACATTCTGGAACTGCCGTCCCATCTCCTTGGCTCCAGTGTCCAGACCAGAGTTAAATGAAACTGCTAATGCTAAAGATAGCACCAGCAAATGCCTCTTCATCTCTTTTATCTTGTCTCTGCAGTCCTAGATTAACTCTCTCCATTCTTTGGGTTTTGCAACTTTATGTAGGGGGGCTAACTGCACATTATGTGTAAAGCAGCTGGCAAATGTGCTTAATTCATTATAGGTACTTTTTGGAGCGTGACCTTTTATTAAAGTGGCATTCACTACTGTTAAATGTGTTGACGTGAACTGTTCAAAAGCGATCTGCTGCCATCGGCTGAGAGGCCAAGGACTGTATGGTCCATAGGGAGTGAATAATTTGTATCACTATCTAGAAGTGGACTTTCTAGGTGAGGAGCAAGGCATGTTTAGGGGGCAGTGGGGAGCTTCCGCTGCTATTGCTCAGGCTGTGCCCATTCAATGGATAAATTGTGGATTTCAGTCCCTGGGGCAGTCAAGGGCTGGGTGACAGAGTGTCCTGGTGGCTAGGGCACTGGACCAG